ATTCTTAAATAATTTAAAACATGCCTACTCTTGGCAAATCATGACAGTGTGGTGCAATATAAATACAAGCAGACCTAGATCCAAATCCCAAAGCTATGTGTTTTCAGACAAGTAATTTAATTTCTCTGAATCTCTATTTTCTTATCTAACATAAAGGAAATCTATTCAAAGACACGTTTTTTAAGAATTAGCAATAATGTGGCCGGGCGTGGTGGCGCATGCCTGTAGTCCCAGCTACTCAGGAGGCTGAGGCAGCAGGATTGCTTGAGCCCAGGAGTTGGAGGTCACTGTGAGCTAGGCTGATGCCACGGCACTCACTCTAGCCTAGGCAACAAAGCGAGACTCTGTCTCAAAAAAAAAAAAAGATGAAGGAAAACTTAATGTACAATAGTAATTTCCATGAAAACAATTTGTTTATGCCATAGATTTAAACACTCTCTATGAGAATGCCAGAAAAGTTACCAAGGTGCAGCTACCATGTAAACAAATCATAGGTACCATATAGCATAAGAAGCAGCAAGAGTATGTGCATGGATATAAGGGAATTTTACTCATTGAAGTTTAAATTTTAAAATATTTTGAAAAAATAAAATAAAAATATTTTACATGCTGAAGCCAGGCATGGTGGTTCACACCTATAATTCCAGCACTTTGGGAGGCACAGACAGAGGGATCACTTGAGGCCAGGAGTTTGAGGCCAGCCTGAGTAACACAGTAAGACCCCTACCTCTACAAAAAATAAATTAAAAAATTTAGCTAGGCACAGTGGCATGTGCTTTTTGGTCCCAGTGACTAGGGAGGCTAAGGTGGGACTGCTTGAGCCCAGGAGTTCAAGGCTACAGTGAGTTAGGATAGTGCCAGTGCACTCCAGCCTGGGTGATAGAGAGACCCTATCTCTAAAAAAATAAATAAAATAAAATTATTCTGCATGTTGAAATGCAAGTAAATCTTTACGTTAATTATAGATAACACTTGGCCGGGCGCTGTGGCTCACACCTGTAATCCTAGCACTCTGGGAGGCTGAGGCGGGTGGATTGCTCGAGGTCAGTAGTTCGAAACCAGCCTGAGCAAGAGAGGACCCCGTCTCTACTAAAAAAAAATAAAAGAAATTAATTGGCCAACTAATATATATAAAAAAATTAGCCGGGTGGTGGCCATGCCTGTAGTCCCAGCTACTCGGGAGGCTGAGGCAGCAGGATTGTTTGAGCCCAGGAGTTTGAGGTTGCTGTGAGCTAGGCTGACGCCATGGTACTCACACTAGCCTGGGCAACAAAGCGAGACTCTGTCTCAAAAAAAAAAAAATTATAGGTAACACTTATTTCAATGAGTTTAAACTAACAGATTGGTTTAAATCCTTTAACCAGTAATACACACCAGGCTCAATTATTCTTAAATAATTTAAAACATGCCTACTCTTGGCAAATCATGACAGTGTGGTGCAATATAAATACAAGCAGACCTAGATCCAAATCCCAAAGCTATGTGTTTTCAGACAAGTAATTTAATTTCTCTGAATCTCTATTTTCTTATCTAACATAAAGGAAATCTATTCAAAGACACGTTTTTTAAGAATTAGCAATAATGTGGCCGGGCGTGGTGGCTCACGCCTGTAATCCTAGCACTCTGGGAGGCTGAGGCGGGCGGATTGCTCGAGGTCAGGAGTTCGAAACCAGCCTGAGCGAGACCCCGTCTCTACTAAAAAAATCGAAAGAAACTAATTGACCAACTAAAAATATATATGCAAAAAATTAGCCGGGCATGGTGCATGCCTGTAGTCAGAGCTACTCAGGACACTGAGGCAGGAGGATCACTTGAGCCTAGGAGATTGAGGTTGCTGTGAGCTAAGCTGACACCACGGCACTCACTCTAGCCTGGGCAACAAAGTGAGACTCTGTCTCAAAAAAAAAAAAAAAAAAAAAAAGAATTAGCAATAATGTATAACACATGACACAAGAGCCAGTCTACAAATGGCAGTTACCTAACAGCAGCAATAACTGAGAGTAAATAATATAACCTATGGAAAACATATAGATTACAGTTTTATATCCTCACAATCAACAATTCACTTTTGTAATTCAACTTACAAAATAACTGTAAAATGTACTTTAAATCAACTAGAATATACTTAGAACTCACGAAAATTAGGAAGAAAAAATCAAATAACCCCATTAAAAAGTGGGCAAAGGACTTGAACAGAAATTTTTCTAAAGAAGACAGAAGAATGGCCAACAAACATATGAAGAAATGCTCAACATCTCTAATCATCAGGAAATGCAAATCAAAACCACAATGAGATATCACTTAACCCCAGTGAGAATGGCCTTATCAAAAAACTCCAAACAATAAATGCTGGCGTGGATGCGGAGAGAGAGGAACACTCCTACACTGCTGGTGGGACTGCAAACTAGTTCAACCTCTGTGGAAAGCAATATGGAGATACCTTAAAGCGATACAAGTGAATCTACCATTTGATCCAGCAATCCCATTGCTGGGCATCTACCCAAATGATCCAGTGACACTCTACAAAAAAGACACCTGCACTCGAATGTTTATAGCAGCACAATTCATAATTGCAAGGCTGTGGAAACAGCCCAAGTGCCCATCAATCCAAGAATGGATTAATAAAATGTGGTATAGTATACCATGGAGTACTATTCAGCTCTAAGAAACAATGGTGATATAGCACATCTTATATTTTCCTGGTTAGAGCTGGAACCCATACTACTAAGTGAAGTATCCCAAGAATGGAAAAACAAGCACCAGATATATTCTCCAGAAAACTGGTATTAACTGAGTAGTACCTAAGTGGACACATAGGTACTACAGTAATAGGGTATTGGGCAGGTGGAGGGGGGGGGGTGGGTATATACATACATAATGAGTGAGATGTGCACCATCTGGGGGATGGTCATGATGGACTCAGACTTTTGGGGGGAGGGGGGGAAATGGGCATTTATTGAAACCTTAAAATCTGTACCCCCATAATATGCCAAAATAAAAAAAAAATTAAAAAAAAAAAAACAGTCACTAGGACTGCTTACAGTCTCACACACACACACACAAAAATGTACTTTAAATCAATTTTCCTTTCCTAACAACTTTGAAATATTACTTAAAACTACTTAAAAGTCACACTCATATTTAAAGATTAACATCTGACAAATTTCTAAACACTGTCTTAGAAAAAGAGTCCTACATAGTGCCTTTATTGTTTTATCTATTTTTGTGTAAATAACATTCACATAACTCAAAATTCAAAAAGGATCTATAGATCTACACCCCATGCTCCCTACACCCAATTCCCCTACACAGAAGCAACCAATTTCATCAATTTCTCATAAATCCTTTCATCTATACAAGCAAATGCACATATTTCCCCTCTTTTGACACAAATGGCGGCCTCATCCACACTATTCTGCATCTTGCTTTTCATTTTCTTGGAGAATATATTTTAATCAAAGCACTCTGTAAGAATGGTTGCTTATAATCTCTCATGACCAGAATCCAGCAAACGTCAGCTACCTTTACAGAGGCACTTGAAGAGGCCAAAAAAAAAATCCTTAGCCAGTATTCTTAGTAAACACAAACATATAATATAAAATTTGGTAAAATGGAGATTTACATAAGGTGACATGATGAAACACTTGATTAGCCATTCAAAATACTAGATCTACACACTTAAAAAGGAAACACCTGGAATGTACTACAAGTCCTTCAATGAGTTGAAAATAATCAACATCATCCATTTACAGAACTGGACCTACTAAAAATACAAAACAAAACATTAGTGAAAATAAAGCTATTTATTGATTGTATTTATTCCAAGATTAAATTATCTCTTTCCTATATTTTCTTTGCAACTTAAGTTCCTGGAAGAATTTTCCTTCCAGATTTATAAAGGTGCTGTTCTCAAACAAATTAACTTGTTTGTCTGTTTGCATATCCTGTTTTCTTCCTCTGAAACACTATGACACTTATTTGAAGTAAAGCTTCCTCATCCTTAACATATAAAGAGCAATATTATTTTTACAATATGCATTACTAGAGCAATACAAGTACTTCTTGTAATCTTCAACATAAGCACTAAGAATACCCTGGTGAAAAGTCAGCTCACATAAAGCAAAAAGATCATATGAATTACCAGAGCAGTAACTTATCACTCTAAGTAACAGAAAATAAAGTATTAGAAGTCTATTAAGTTTTAGGCTTACACAATCTTATTAAAGAAGAAATGTTTCAGGCTGTTAGCAACAGCATTAGTGGCGATCTTTCATAAGGAATATATATGTCAACTATCCCTGAACAGATTTTCTTATTGCATAAGTAAATTCACTGTATATAAGTGATATACAGTGTATATAAGTATATATTTCACTGTATATAAGTACATTTATGACTCTGTTTCTGCACTGTATCAAAAATACAAAGTCATCCTTCCATTCCAGAGTTTTGGCATATGAACAAATACAGAAGTCAGAGTTCATACACATGCTCTGTAAAACCAGTTATGACATATATGCTACTACATTCAATAAGTCTGCTAGTATTTGTCATTTTTAAATTTTGAATAACTATTTTCTCCATGTCTACCTGGAAAGATACAGATCACTCGGTTGCACAAATAAAGATTAACTGCTATCAGACTTACGTTAATTACCTATCACATACTTTGAATGCTGAATTTCACAAATTATTGACATTATCAAAGTACCAACCATAAGAGGAAAATAGCAATGATATATTCAATAATGTATGTGAATCTTTTAAGATAATCATTTTCGGTGTTACATTTTGTTTAATTCAAGTGAGTAAAGACAAACTGGCATTCTTGTTGACCCTTAGAAAAACTATACTAATACTTCCATAATTCTGAGTCAAATTACTAGAGCATTTTGAATATCTTATATAAATGTGGCCAGCACTACTGTATCTAAATTCTGCAGAACTTAAGAGCAACCGCAATTTTTTGAAAATGTGTATGTCAGGATAAACCTACTCACTTAATAAGGAGATCTAACAATGTAGTAATCTCACGAAATCCCGAGTTTTTAATACGTCTTTTCCTCAAAAGTGAGAATCAATTTAACTATGAAGGACATCATAATGAAGTTTCATGGCACAACACGAGTCACAGAGGCATTGTCTTAGGAAAGACTCTCTGAACTGTAACGTGTAAACAGTATTTTGAAATAAACTACTCATACACTCCATTATTATTTCGTAACTAAAAACATTTAAATGCATTTAGTACATAAACAACTTGCCTGTGCCCAGTCAAAAAGCTTTAGATGTCAATAAAAGGGCCTAGGAATTGGGGGATAAGTGGAAAGGAGATAATGATTTAATTTGGAATTAATTTCCTATCCTGGGTGAAAAATTCCCTTATCCCCCTCAATAAGATAGTATCCTATTATGTCTCCCCTGTCTAACACCCAACTAAAAGATAGTTAACTCTGAATGTCCTTCTTTCATCAACACCTAAGGACTCATCGCTCTTTCCTTACGGAAGGGACAGTAAAGGCCTGAGAAGCATTAACCCAGAATATCCTTAAAAGTGTGGGCCTTTGAACAGCACCGCTCTCCGGATCCAGTTACCACCTTTTCCCCTTCCCCCAACCCACTTCCCGGGTTTTCTCAGGCTCGGCCTGCTCCCTCCTCAGCCACAGCCACACTTCCAGCTGTTGCCACCTCGGGGCTCTCACTAGAGCTCACATCCCGCCGAGAAATGCCCCCCTTTCCCTCAGCCCCAAACCGTGCTCCTCCCCAGACACCCGCCCGCGAGACCGTCCATCCCAGGGCCCCGGGAGGGAGGGGAAGGCGGCGGAAGGAGGAGGGGAAGACTGCTGCTTCCCACAGGCAGGAGGATGGCCGCAGAGAGGGCCACCCGGGAACCGCCGGGGACCTCGGGGTCGCCACCGGGAAGGCCCTCCCGCCCCGGGCTGAGGTAGGGGTGTCCGGGAGTTCATTTCTGACCTCCTCGCTCTTCAGCACCTCCTTGAACTCCCGCTTGATTCGCTGCACCGCGATGTTGGCCATGTCTCCGCCCGCAGCTGATTCGTACCCGCCTCCTCCGCCACCGCTACGACCACCGCCACCGCCGCCACCTCTTCCTCCACCACCTCCTCCCTCGGCGACTCAGACCCAAGCACACGAACACTGGCCCTGCCACCCCGGCCGCCGCGTTCTCCTCAGTGTGGAATCACCTCCGCGCCCGGCCACCAAAATGGCGCCGAGTCTGCGCATGCGCACGACGTTGGCCCGGCTGGGCGGCGCAGCCGCTCGGGTTGTAGCCCCCATACGCCTCGGCCGCGAGCGCGCGCCGCGACGCGCGTCTCTGCGGGAGCTGCGGCCGCGTGGCTCCGCCCTGCCGGCGTCTGGGGCCCGGAGGGTGAGGCTTCCCAGCTGGCTGTCCCTGCTCTGGCGCCGCGGTTCTGCCTTGTGCCTCCGCTTCTCTTTAAACCCGTGAGATGCGGTCGAGGCTTCCAGCATTTGGCCTCTGCCCGAAGGCTGCAGCCCAACGATGGGTTTCCGCGGCCACGCTCGGCCTGAGCGCCGTCCTGACTCAGCTAGACCCGGGACCCTGAGGCTTAAGTGCCCTGCTGTGTCTGGCGCATGAAAACGCTATGCCAGAACTCAGCCCGGCCCATTTTTGGTTGTTATAGCCTCAGAAAATCAACGGCAGTTGTTTTTGTTCTGAAACCATTATAGTGCCACTATTAGTCCCATCATCGCAGGTACCACAATTTTTTTTTTTTTTTTTTTTTGAGACAGAGTCTCACTCACCCTTACCCAGGGTAGAGTGCCGTGGCGTCAGCCTAGCTCACAGCAACCTCAAACCCCTGGGCTCAAGTGATCCTCCTGCCTCAGCCTCCCGAGTAGCTGGGATTACAGGTATGCGCCACCACGCCCGGCTGATTTTTCTATTTTTAGTAGAGCCGGAGTCTCGCTTTTTGCTAAGGCTGGTCTGGAACTCCTGACCTCAAGCAATCCTTCTGCCTCGGCCTCCCAAAGCGCTAGGATTATACAGGTGTGAACCACCCGCCCAGACTGCTGGTACCACCAATTGTTGAATTAAGGATGGTTATTGTTGGATCCCATAGGGTGACACAGGTACTCCACAAAGAGGCCTGAGGTGGGTTTAGAAGTTGGATGTTGATTTTTGACCTATTTAGAAAAAAATACCAAGCGGTGGAACTAAAACCTTGGTTTTCAAACTTCAATGTTCAGAATCCCTTGGGGAGCTTAAAAGGACAGCTTGCTGGGCCCCATCCTTAGAGTGTGAGATGGGCCCAAGACTTTGCATTTCTAACAATCTCCTAGTTGCTGCTGCTGCTAATGGTCTTTCAGGACCACACTGTGAGAACCTCTGAGCTAAGGCATGTGAAAATTCACATATATATTTCAATGCAAGTTGGAGAAATAGCTCCTTGAGAGAATGGAGCTGCAGAGGGTGAGCTTTACTTCTGTAAATCTAGGGCTTTTACAAACATGTCTGGCCCTAGTAGGTACTCAATAAATATTGAATGAGTAAATGAGTAAAAGTAAGACTAAAATGTTTTAAGTGGAAAGTAAGATTGAAAGGCAATTTAAAAGTGATGACTAGGGTTTACAGTAAGTAAGATGGTTTTGGTGTGAGGTAGCACTCTGAATAGAACATTTGGGGATAAATAATAAAGGTGTTATTTTAGAAGTTTATATTTCATGTACTTCCCTAACCTAACCAATCAGTAAAATATCCTATTATATATATAGTCTTAGCAAAAGTAGCTAAAATTGTGGCAGCAAAAAGAGAAATAGCCACTGGAGGTGAATTTCAGGGGAGGCACAAGGCAGAAGGGGATTTCTGCCCTAGAAACCGAGAGGGGATTTTTTTATTCCAGTTCTCTCCCGTGCCAGCTCTCATGGCCAGCTTGGGTTTCCTCATCTGTGACATAAGGAAACTGGATTAGAGGATCTCTTTCAAGGTTTAAAGAGTTCAGAATTCTGAGGCATCATTTCAAAGCATTTCCCTATGTGAACGAACTTGATAAATTATATAAACCCTTCTAGCAGAGCCCCCTAGTGGTCCTAAAAGGAGTCAACCACATATACAGGTCATGAGATGAAGAATTACTGGTATAAAGTAAATCACGCAGTGCTATCTGTATATATTTGTGTCCGCACATTTAAAACTATTTTAAGGTGTGCAGAATTTTTTGAGTACTTTACACTTATCACTCTAGAATGGTAATCTTGAAACTTTGAAGAAACTTGCAACGCTCAAATCAAAGGGGGACCATTTAGGGTGTGGTAATTTCTTTGAGGGAGAGGAGTTTAGTAGTTCTTAAATGCACATAATCATTGACTCTGCAATTCCACTTACAGGAATTCATTCTATAGTCCTTCCAGAGAATGAGACAACTACATATTAACTGATATGATGCCATCTTCCAAAAATACAATATGATATCCTGGATTGGATCCTAGAATTAAAAAGATATAGCTAGTGTACTCTAAATAAATTCTGTATTTTAGTTAATAGTATTGTAGAAATCTCAATTTCTTAGTTTTGACATAGCCCTATGGTTATGTATGATGTTAACATTAGTAGAAGTTAATCTCTGTACTCTTAGCAAGTTTTCTGTAAATCTAAAAAATACCAAAGGAGGCCGGGCGCTGTGGCTCACGCCTGTAATCCTAGCTCTTGGGAGGCCGAGGCAGGCGGATTGCTCAAGGTCAGGAGTTCGAAACCTGAGCAAGAGCAAGACCCGTCTCTAAATAAATAGAAAGAAATTAATTGGCCAACTAATATATATAGAAAAAATTAGCCAGGCATGGTGGCACATGCCTGTAGTCCCAGCTACTCGGGAGGCTGAGGCAGCAGGATTGCCTGAGCCCAGGAGTTTGAAGTTGCTGTGAGCTAGGCTGACGCCACGGCACTCACTCTAGCCTGGGCAACAAAGCGAGACTCTGTCTCAAAAAAAAAAACAAAAAACAAACAAAAAAAATACCAAAGGAAAAAAAAGTTTACTTTTTAAAAAGCACTGTGCATCATTGGCATGTTGTCCGGCAAAAAGATAAAAAAAAAAAAAAGAAACAAGAAAAAAAAAAAAAAAAAAAAAAAGCACTGTGCAGTTCATATTGTGGATAGTATACCACCATATGTGTGAGGGGAGAAAGAAATGTGCTTGTGTATGTAATGCTTGTGAATCCATAAAATATTGCTGGAAAAATACTGATAACTGAAAGAAACTGGTAACAGTGGTTACCTCTGAGAAGGGAACTTAAGTGTTTTGGGGGAAACAAAGTGGGAGAATTTTCACCACTTGTTCTGTTATATATTTTACCTATTCAAAAAGAGATTTTAGGCCAATGTGTGGTGGCTCATGCCTGTAATCCTAGGACTCTTGGAGGCCAAGGCAGGAGGATTACTTGAGCCCAGGAGTTCAAGACCAGCCTGGGTAAAGAGCAAGACCCCATCTCTACAAACATAGAAAAAATTACCCGGCAGGCATGGTGATACACACCTGTAGTCCCAGCTGCTCAGGAGACTGAGGTAGGAGGATTGCTTGAGTCCAGAAGTTTTGAGGTTGCAGTAAGCTCTGATGATGCCACCACACTCTACCCAGAGCGAGACTGACTCTGTCTCAAAAATAAATTAATAAATAAAATAAAAAATAAATTAAAAAATTAAGAAAAGATTTTTAAAAATGAGTTTACCATAATACAGATCATAAGTTCTTCAGTATTATGATTGAGTCATGATTAACTTCATTAACTAATTAAATAAATACTGACTGCCTACTATGTGCCAAGTGTAAACTAGGCCCTGGAGGCATATCAGTGAACAAGAGATAAAAAAAAATCCCTGGAATTGTGGAATTTACATTCTAGCATGGATGGGAAGAATTAATGTCAAACGATAGTCTGTAGACACCTGAGAAATCCCTGAGATGTTTTCAGGGGGTCAACCTGCCATGCCCAAACTATGTCATAATAAGACTAAGACATTATTTGCCTTTTTTTCTATGTTGACTTTTGCACCAATGGTGCAAAGCAATAGTGGGTAAAACTGCTAGACAGTTTACTATAATATTAACAATTATATTAATACCACATACTCATTGTTAAAAAATGCCAGTTTCACTTTAGAATGTCTTTGATGAAACAGAATTTATTAATTTGATTAAACCTTAACTTTGGAGTACATGTCTTCTTAATATTCTGTGGGATAAGATGAGTATACATAAAGCACTTCTGCTACATACAAAGTACATGGTTAAGCACTGCAATGGGTTGAGTTGCAAGCTGAAGTAGCCACTTTATTCATGGAATACTACTTTTACTCAAAGGCTAAGATAGACTATGTTTATTCAAACTTGGGTAGTTGGTAGATATTTCATCTAAAATTAATGAGGTGAACCTGTCCTTTTAAGGAAAACAACTGACAGACTTTGTTGCCAGTGATAAAATTTTCTAATTTTCAAAAATTAAAATTTTAGAAAATATCTGCCACCATGACTTGATGCTCCCAACACTTGAAGATATTCCTGAAGAAATTGATAGTGATGTGAAGAAATGTGATTGTTTGATATTATACAATGAAATGTGTCCAAATTTGGAAGATCTGCACAAATCAGTGAACCAGTATTTTCCAAATGACCAATGCATCACGTCACAAAATCA